AATGACATTTCAGAAAAACCACATAAAAGAAGGAAAAATAGAAATATTTTAAAAAAACTTACCACATCTGCTACTTCTAATACGGTTGCAAATCCCAAACAAAACGTTCCGAGACCAATTTCTACGTGTTTTTTTATAAATACTTGCAGAATAGAATTCAGACCGAAACAATCCCCATTCTTGACATGTTTGTGACAAAGAAACTCAAAGAGGAACTAAAGAGGTAAACACGCAAGCCGGGAATACCAGGTACAGTTTCGAAAATCAAAAGGAAAACACTCGCGGTTTTTACGTTCGCGCGGTTGACACGGGCGACATTGGAAAACTGAACAGCGCGTGAGAAACTACGTGAACATAGCTGCGCGCGCTCCGCCCCGTCGATAACACACCGTGCATCGATACCGACTGCGGTGATTTTGAGGGTGCGAATTAACAATTAAGGAAAAGACAGGTTCCCCGCAAAAAAAAGGATCCGCACAAGAGAACGCGACAAGAAACGAAAGACGATCAATGAGATTTTTTTTTCTAGCGAAAAGCGGGAGGGTGGATGTCGATTATCGCGAAAGGAATTCGGGAGTTGAAACCCTTTATTTTCGCATAGGGTTCGGGTGGTGCCGGTAAGACCCGTTCGTTCGCATTCCCGTCGTCGTTTTTGATACGGGGTTGGCGACGCCGACGGAGTCCGTCACGAATTAGCGACGTTTAAAAGGGCGGAGTCGACTCTCTGTCCTTCTCCGTTTGTCGTCTCCCGTCCTTTTTTTTTTTTTTTTCTGCGGCACAACGCGGCGCTTCCCAGCCGTGGCTCTCGGCGCGGAATCGGCGCAATCCTGGTGTGGCGTTTCGAGTTTAAACTATACTACTAACTAATAGCATAGCCGGCGAGTGTGTTTCGACAATGTGGGGCACACACCGCGCGCCCTGGGCAGACAGTTTACCTAATCGTCGAGGCCTGAAAAAAAAGCGGGCCGCCGCACCGCCCTAACCACAGGCCCCGGGCCCGCGGCGATCGACTCCTCCGCGCCTTCCTATATACGAACGTTACCAGTTTCACCCGGGCCGGCAGCGGAGTTCTTAATTTTCCGAAAATTTATCGTTCCGCTTTTAATCGCTCTTCCATTCCCTTCCTCCCTCTACGCCGACGGAAATCCCGGGTGTCGAAATTGCGTTCGAAAGTGAGAAACGCTTCCGCGAAACCGCGCAATATTTCTCTCGAGTCGGCGTTTCTTTCTCTCGGTCGTAATGTGGGTTTTTAGAAAAAGAAATAAATTATAAAAAAAAAAAAAAAAGATTCAATTACGTAACGTGTAATTGACGAACGCGAGGATTCGAACGATGAGAATTTTCTGCGATAAAACATCGATTACCTTTCGAATATTGTCGATTCATTATCCACAAGTTAATCGAATTTTTGTTCCGCGTTGCGTTTTGATTTTTCGCAACACTCGCGGTGTCGAACATCTGACGCGAGACTAATCTGCGAGATCTAAACACGCCATATTCCCCCCCGCGCTTCCCTTTCTCGCCGGTAATTATTTCACGGTTCATCCTCATCATCATCATTATTATTATTATATACAAAGGTAACCGAAATTAGTGTTCAGAAGCCTGAAAATGAGACTCATCTGTATTGCGTTTCGGACGCATCTTTGTTGTGCGTGGCGATCGCCAGTCAACTCCTGGAATTCTGGACCGATCCATGTAGTCTCTGTGGGACCCACGAGGTCGTCCGGGCCCGGTGACCCTTAGATAAGGTTTCACGCCCTAATAAGAGGGTACACCGCGAAGTACCGTGAGGCGACCGTGGCAGCTCCTTTTCCTCCTCCCCGTCTCTCGTCTTTTTGCCCCGCAATCGTAGCTCGAGGCCTCGCCCGACTGAGCGATCTAATCCACCGGGTAATCTGCGGTTAACGTTTTAGGGGCTCCGAGGGTGAGCCTGGAAGGCTTCGTGACATTCCAACGTGCTAACTCCCACAATTGCGAAGTCGCTCGCGCACCGGCTACCTCGAAATCGCATCCCTCGGCTTTTTACCCTTCCCTTCCTCGCATACTCGTTCTTTGTGTTTTCTCAGCGTTGTTTTTAACGTAACGTGCACATAGTACTTTTGTCACATTCACATATTTTACAAATAGTTTTATATTTCACAATAAATTAATAAATTTTCTCGTTGATGCCTCAATGCAACTGGATCACTGGGAACTACCTGAAGTATGTGTGCGCGCAATATTGTAGTTGCTATCGATCGAAATGAAAAGAACATGATAAAATAGCGCCAAAGACTCGTTGTCCCGCTGCGAGCGGAACAATCTTTGATTTAGAAAAACGATCAGCCTCGTCGTCGTGAGGAACAAGTCGCCTGCATGCTGCGGGCAAAATACCAGGAACCGTAACATTGTGATTATTGTAATTAAATCGTCTCCCGGCGGGGATAAAGGATACACGCAGAAAACGATCTTTCTTCCTACGCTTTTATTTTAATAAATGTATACGCTTCCTTTTCCTCTGTTTCTTCTTCCTCGAAATTTATTTCCACTCACGTTTTTTTCTCTCCCACGTATCTCCCGACTGCTACCTGAAACGCATCGGTATTTTTTCTCCCGCAACAATGTCAATATCGACAATTACGAAAAAAAAAAAAAACTTGTCCATTTATTTTTCGCACTTCGCCCGACAAGTTTTTTTCCGATCCTTCTCGAATGATATTCGACAATTCACACAAAAATTGCTGAAACTTTGAACAATGCTTTGATTTGTCATTTCCTGTTCATCTGAAATAGAATAACGTTACGTTAAAAAGATAGATGTATTGTTACGTTAAAAAAAAAACGAAAATATATTGCGCAAAAAATCTAAACCTGTGTCAAATATTGCAGACACGTGTCAATAAAAAGTGAAAGCTAGACAATAAACGTTGCAACAAACACTTTGCCGCAGAGGCACAATCGCGATATCCGTTATTAAATTAGATCAATATTTACTTGTATTTATCTGCCGATCTAATTTAAAATTATACGCGTGTATCTTCTCGTAGAGCCAATCAGGAAACGAACATAAACAAACGCGACGACAAGATTCAGAATTGGTTCGATGACGAAGGGACCAAAGGGAGGGAATTGTCTTGTTTGTTCGACGTTTCATCACGCTTTATTATCCGGGAAAAGGCGCAGGGATTAATTAAAGTTAAACAGCACTAACCGACCGGCAAGCGTGCTAACTGTCGGCTATTGTTCGGAAAAGCGAGGCCCGGGAAACTCTCGTTTACCCTCGCAAGATTGGCTCTCGGAGATCAGGTCAAATATACGCCTCTTTGCGTCTCTTTATACATATATATATATATGTATGTATACGTGTTCGTGAAATTACCGCGCGGATCAGATGTAATTAAACAACTATGCGTGCTGCGCGCACAACAAATGCAATATGATTTATGGAAAATGCACGTTAATAAAATCGTTTTGTTCGAATGACTTTTTATTTCCAGTTGATAACAACAACATTTAAATATATTACTATCGACTAGAATGAGGTATTACTTCGTTCCTCTCTTTCTACGTAATGTCGATCATAGATTAACAGATAGCCGCATTTTGCTGGACAATAATTTCTGTAACGTCCTATAAGTAACTTCTTTTTCTTTTTCTTTTTCTTTTTCTTTTTCTTTTTCTTTTTCTTTTTCTTTTCCTTTATTTGACGCGAGGATAAGATAAAAGATAAGATAAAAAAAAAAAAAGATAATATGCGTCAGACGACACAAAACTTGATGACAAAGTCGACGATCTCCACATTCAAATCGTTTTGCACGCATATATGCATAAATGAATATATAAAAGGTATTATATTTATGCACATATATATATATATATCTGTATATAATACATATATAAATATATATGCGCGTATATATCTACATGTAATACATATATATGCGCATATTCAAAAATCTTCGATAAAACAGAAAAACGCGAGCCGATGCCTGAAAATACGGTTCTTCGAAAAAAAAAAAAAATACTCAAATTTACTATATAAATTCTACACACGCAGGACGTGGGTGGTCTGTGAGTAGTGTCTTGTATCTTCTCCTCCCGTAGATTAGAAGAGGAAGAAATGTATATTCTCGGAGAATCCGCAGTTCGGTCGGTGGCACACCGTTGAAAGTGGCGTGAAAACACGTTCTTGCGCGCTTATCTGATCGATGTTTTTAATTTTATGGGAAACTAAGATAACCGACGGGTCGGAGAAGCAACACTGTCACACGATCGGTGCTACGGTAACATTGCACCTTCCGACACACTGATCGTTGTCTCGTCGAGAGACAGTCAATTATCTCGACACTTTCTGGCCAAATCGTAATCGTAAATGTACTTTAAACCTGAGAAATAAAAAAACGAACCGGATTCCGTTGGTTTTTTTTTTTTTTTTTTTTTACATAGAAACATTCGTCTCGTTCTCTTTGCAATAATTTTACATGCAACTAAACTTGTTTCGTTTATTTTATAAATTAACTTATTATATTTCACATATGCGCTACTTGTAATTAATTTATTTTAGTAAATTAAATTAGCAATTAATCCGTGAAACTCTGTTTGAACTCTATCTTTGAATGACAACGATTGTGACGATACATATCCGTTTGTACAATGTTTGACAAGTCGAGGGAGAAAAAAATCAGTTAATTGAAAATACGAGATATAAACTTTGTTTCGAGATGTACGGTAAAGTTAGTTGCTTACAACTAACAGTCTACGAATATATACATACTAGGAACGTGTGTATACAAGTACATATCTTCTTATGAAACTAAGAAGTTCGCCGCTTATACATACATGTGTATAGTCGCACATTATATATATAATCGCAAATGTATTTACAAAGATAATACACACGAGAACATTTGTGCGTCTTTCGTGTCGCGCGACAGAGAATAGAAAATTTATATTTATTTCACGCGCGTGTAATAAAAATAAAAATTTTCTTTGTTCGCGCGTAACATGGGAAAAACAATACACACACGCACACACAGAGAGAGAAATATAAAGAGAAAGAGAGAGATACAAGTTTATAAGAAAATATTAACTCTTTGGCTGGACATAACACAGACACATAGAAAAAAAAAAAAAAGCAGTACACTGTTAATACTACTCTTTCTTTATTGCATCCTTGATAACCCCATTCGCGCGCCAGGCCTTTGTCTAAGACAACGCTTCAAGATGTATTACGCAAAAGCTCAAATTAGAATCTCAAATTAAAGCCACATCTTTCCTCTCTGTCATTAAAAATGTCAATATTAGCAATCCCCGTCGCAATTTGCATTTGTTTTAAAGTCCAAAGTGTTGTAATTTTATCCCTCGATTATGTAGATTCTACCACAATTACGTATCGTTAAATATACGCAATTCCAGAATGCATTTCTGAGAAATTGAACTCGCGCGACGAGAACACCTCGTTTATTTTGAACAAAATTATTGCGACCAACAATAGTTTTCTGTCAACATGTCAGTCGCCGAATGAAAGTGTCTTAAAAAATTGTCTTAAAAAAAAAATAATAATTGTCTTAAAAAAAAAAAAAAAAAATCGTGCGTATCGATGAGAAAACTGCCGAAAAGCAATTCCAGAAAGAACGTGTGGTTTTTACGCACGCAAATTCAAAAACCGCTTCAACGTTTCATAATGTCTTCTATAGTGAATCCGAGCTTGGGAATGGTCTTGCCGGTTCTTTGAACGTGCATGTGATTGTTCAATCGATCCGCGATCTGTTCGACCTGCGTGGACGACACGGGCGATTCCGAGGACACTGAGGCCTCGATTCTGAGATCTTGCGGCACTTCCGAGTGCGGCATTTCCGTGCGCGGCACTTCCGTGTGCGACAAAAGATGCGTCTTCAGATTGCTCCTCTGATTAAAGCTGCGATTGCAGACCGGACATTTGTGCGGCGATTCCTCCATGTGCAGAATCCTGTGAACCGCCAGAGTCCTGCTTTGACAGAATCCTTTGCCGCAATCGGCGCATTTGAACGGCTTCTCCTTGCTGTGTATGTATCTAGAAAACGATAAATTATCTGAGGTCAGCCCTCAAGAGATCTTTAAAATAAATTATCTTATCATTTACAAACTTTACTTAATAGTTGTTTAAAGATAAAAAAATGATAGTTAAACGTTTATTTCAGTTTGCTGCATTAAACAAATTATTATAACAACAATAGCTTTATTGAGTACACAATTACGTACAAAGCGCAACCTAATATATTTCAATACAAAATAGAAAAAAAAGTAAGACAAGGCGAGGCAACAACATCATCTGCAGACTTGAATTGTTTTTATATAATGTAAATTTGATTTTTTAAAATAATATCTACGCACACGATGTGTATTATTTTGTGCACACGTGAGACTGCGCAAAAAAAACAAAATTTCTACATTTGTAAAAAAATATTTAAATTTATGTGCATTTATGTTACGGATCAATTTAACTCGCATTGTTATTCGACAGTCACAACAGGATATTCTTTCAAAAAAAGAAAAAGTACCTGAGAATATCCTATTGTGACAGATCTGCACCTCAAGGTCACTGTAGGAAAAGTTTGAAAGATATTTGAGAATATTTTCAGACTATTAAAGATTATCTCAAGGTAAAGGCGGCTCTTTAGTTATATTTATTAGACAACCTACTGCTGTTCGATTGTGTGAAGTCAACGCTACCACGTGTTACGTACTTTCACAAATTTCTTTTTTATTTTCCGTAACTTATTTGATTTTTTTTTTACGGTTAGATTACTAATTTAAGAAAATTCTACGTTTTTTTAAAACATATTGCAACTGAATTTTTTTTAATAATTTTAATTTTTTGTTTATAATTGTTATAATTATAATGTAATTTTTCTCTCAAAATATTCCGCAAAATCTTCTCAGTTATTAATCGCGCCTCTTTCTTAACAAAAATTTTAAAAACATTTTTTTATCATTTTCACGTTTATAAATTCTTTTATGTTTTTTTGTATGCAATCTTGAAAAAAAACATACGAAGTCTCTCGGATCTTTTTAGAATTTGTTGATGAATGTTTTTAATATCGCGTTTATGTAACTAAATTAAATATAATATATTTAGAATATCAGAAATTTACCGATGATCCCGCAAATGGTCCTGTCTACGAAAGGCCTTCCCGCATATGTCGCACGAGTACGGTCGCTCGTCAGTATGTGTTCTCTCGTGGATCAGCAAGTTGTAACTCTTCGTGAACTGCCGATTGCAGTATTTGCAGATAAACTGTTTCTTGGGTCTCTGGCCGGGTGTTCTTCGAGCTAAGAACGGCGGCGGCGGTGACATGGGGAACAACCCTTGATGACCCTGAGGATGATAATACAGACGTGGCGAAGGTGGACAGCAACCTCTGACCAGGAGAGCCGCGCCAGATCTAAACCAGCTGTCCAGCAAAGCAGACGGATATCCGAGGTTCTGATGCTGTGGCTGGATATGCGGCTGAAGGTGTCGCCCGAACTGCTGGGATCTTATCCACCTTGAGGTATTGTACTGCAGGTTCTGAAGCTGCTGAGGTTGTTGCTGCTGATGATTCTGCTGCTGCTGCTGAAGATGATGTTGATTACCCGAAGATAGCTGATGATAACGCACACTTGACTTTTCGACAGCTGGAGGTGTCTGCGGCGGTGTCAGCGGCTCCGTTTTTGCCTCCATCTGTGTGTCACGTGTCTCTTTAATAGATAAGCTTTTTAAATAAAAACCGAGTCGATTTTAACAATCGGCACTGAACGAACGTCACAGAATTGATTGATCGCGACCGTCAACTTTGGAAATTGAACATTTTCAATTGAACATTATCAACCGGAGCACAGATTTCCACTTCTTTAACAATCCATTCATTTGTTACGTTTGAGTGTCCCTCTAAAATTGGTAACTATCGCGGTGCAAATCAATGTCTCTCGCGTGACACGCATATCCCCGCAAACAGTCAGTGCTAAACTGAAGTCAACGAAGCGTTCAAGACGCAAAAGAAGGCCAGGGTTCCAGAGTCTCCGTACCTGGGTGCCTGACGAACTACATGGTGGCTCCTCCTACCGTGTCCTATACGCTGGATCGCCGGTTGGCGGCTCGACTTCCACAGGGGCGGAGCTTCCGGGTTGGGGTTACCCCTCGAGGCGACACGATGGGGCTACCCACCCGTGGTGAACGGGTCTCCCGCTGCCGTCTCCGTACGCTGCACGCGTAAGACACTTCGGAGCAGAGGGGGGGATTAGGCTCCGTTATACGGTATAATCAACGACGTTGTAAATATGAGAAGGAGAAATGCGTGTGAATGTTTGTGTGTGAATTGCTCCCCGAAACTATCGCGAACAATGAAAATTACTCTCCGGCTGACGGCAAGTGAAATTGTACGACGAAGAAACGAAGAAATACGTTTTCGATGATCAAAGAACGATTTCCAGTCATTTTGCGCTCATAAAGCCGCGCGTATGTGTGTGTATATTTCTCTTATGCACGATATTACATGTGTGTTACATGTAATATTGCAAACACGCGTACGGGAAATCCGAGGCAATTCCGTTATTGCAAACTCCATTGCAGCGAACGAGCGTTTCCAGCGTATAATCGGCTCATCCAAGTTTTCACGTGAGCCAACCACAGGTTCAGGCACGCGAAACTACCCCTTCCGTGGAGAGAGCTTGTCATATCACGGACTATTAGCCGTACAACATGGCACCGTTGGCTTTGCGTATTTAAAATTGTTTAACACGAGCGAGATTGTGTGCGTTATCGTTTCTATTCTTCCGTAATATTAGCGAATTAATTTCAAACTTTTTCTCGAACGTTCTTTCAATACGAAAATAAAAATTTTTTTCTGTGTAAAAACACAACCGTAGTATACAAAATAAATCATTTTTTTTTGACCGCATCAGGCAATTAGATTACTTCGTTGCGCATATGTGCTACCGATTTGACGAAGTCGACGCGTTTTGTTTCACTTTCTGAAACACGATCCATCCCTTTCTTGTTTTTTTTTCCCTTCACGGTCTCACGTAATCTTATTATGTTAACGATGTTGCGCGTATACGATATTTAGGATATTGACGCTACCGATACGATATGTTTGTGTCAACGTCGAGAAAGATAAATCTACTAAGATAAATCTTGTTTTTGTTTTTACTACACTATAGTTCTAATCTAAATAGATTTATGGTAGATTATTGAGGCGTCACCTCGAACTTTCCTTGGTAAATCCATTATTTGAAATAAAACGGCTATAAGGAGCCTTTGCAGGATGTTGTGCGGTAATAATGTTTGAAAAAATATTTGTCAAAACGTTTCGATTTTATTTGAAGTCCTTGTCAATTGATCCGCGATATAAAACAAAAAAATTAAGAAGTAATACGCATCATGTTGCAATATAAATAGTCATATTTTATAAGGTCAATCAAACTACACACATTATTGAGTTAAAACGGTAGAGAATTATGAGCGTCATGGTTGTATAAAAGTGAGATCGGTACCAAAGGATTTAATCTCAGAAAAAAACACCTAATAAAGAGATTTAGCCGAGACAATCAACTTGAAAATATTATTTCGGCGAGAAAATCACCAAGCGAGGTGACACGATACATCATTATCGGCAACAAATGTAGTAAAGATTATCTTATCCTCTTATCGATTTGTACGACAGTACAGACAGCGCGACACCGAACGAGAAACGCGTCGATTTTGCGAGAAGGAAGCTTTTGTTGATCCGTGCTAAAAATAATGACGATGTATTTTATCTACTTCTGCTGTTATACTTATCTCTCATTTATGAATCGAAAGTTTCCTCACTTTACATTTGTATAAGATTTACGCGCGAAATCTCTAAGAGATGAATCTCTTATTTGTGCACGTCACACGCAAGAAATCAATTTTTGCCTCGCAGGAGATCGGTATAAAAAAACGCTTCTTTCGCAAAGTAACATATAAAATAATCTCGATAATAAAGTCTCGACTATAATTATTGTAACAATATGAAAACGTGTCTCGAGATCATTCTCCGTTGCGAAGTCCCGCTCGTTATATACGAGAGTTTTTATCTTACGTGGGACAAAAACGACGTGCAAAAAATCCGACGAGTACGATATTTTCGCTGATCGCTTTTAGCCGGAAAAGTAATCTTGCAGCACGAGGGAGGAATGTCCCGTAATCGTTATCGTTTCTCGATCACGCCGCCGCGGAGAGATGTGAAGGGAGGAAAACTGGGATGGAAAAAAAAGAAGAAGCAAGAGAGAAACACAGGGTGAAGAGGAAAGCGGCAAGAAGGGGAAGAGGAGAAACGACTCTCTTCGAAACCTGTCTCTCGTATAATTCCGCAAAATGTTTAGCATACAAAGACAAATATAATGGTCGCCGAGATGAGGTTGCGACGAGATCACGGGCCCCGGGCGGGGATGGTTAATTCAGTTTCAAGCTCCATCAGGCAGGCAGATCCCCTTCCCCCCGCCACCCGGCCCATCCCCTTCGCACTCTCTCGTCACCCCTGAAGCGTCTTTGTACATCGCCGTCATCCACTCCCTCGTGTTTCCTCTTTCTCTTCCCTCCCTCTCTCTCTCCCTTTCTCTCTCGTGTCTCCCGTTTGCGCGCTGCCACCCCTTGCGAAATTGCACAGGTACGGGAACTACCAAATGGAACATGTACTTGTTCGAAATATGTATATCTACACTCACTGACACGGTGGATTAAAATTTTTTCGGAAACACATATATGCGCGTTCCAAACGTTTCTCTCGTACAATATAATTCGATAAGTAAAATAGTTTACAAAAAATTCAATATACATAATTAAACATTTTTAGTGTTAAAGAAGTAAATCTAGAAGATTAAAAAAATTAATTCTTTGGTCAATTCTTCTAGAAGATTGACTTTTTTAACACTAAATTTTTTTAAATTTTACCAGATGCATTATCGTTAACTTTACTGGAAAAAGGCATTTCTAAAGTGTTTTTCTAATTGGTTTTTGAAAGAATTTTGAATTGTTCAGAATTTTGAATTGTTCAGAATATTTAGAAAATGTTAATTTCAGATAGAAAAAAAGTAGATTTCTTGTCACACATATTGTTCCATTAGATACATTTATTTGATGTTTTCTTTATATATTTCTCACCAGAAATAGTTCACTATTCATTCTATAGGAATGCTCATGACTCTGAAAAAGAGATACCAGTATTTATCTTTTTATCTTAAGAGAGACGAAATCTCAGTTTTAGAATCTTGGCTCGGTTTTTCGGTTTTCTCATTCAAAACTTTCACCAAAAATATCTTGCATTTTTTTTCGCAATATTTTAAACTTAGATAAGGAGGTATAGGGGAGTATAGGGTACAGAGGTATAAGATCCATCAAATGTCCAAGAAAAAAAGAAGACGGATAGCTACCCAAGTAGCTAGAGTCAGAGTAATGCGGGAGAAATATAAAGTATTTAGAAGATGCCCTAAAACAACGGACGGTTATAATCACCGCGTAACGCCTTCGAAAAATCCGCTCGAACATTCTCGGCACTTTAAAAAAACAAAAACAGTGTCCGAGGAAAAGAGGACGAATTGGTGGCAATTCTATATACGGGCATTTATCATATACGAGATGCAAATATAGCATCGCATATGAATTTACAAATTGAAATTTTAATTCAAAATTCACGTGTAAAATTTACACAAAGAAAAATATAAATAAATGTATATATGTTTATTTATTTCGCAACGAACATCCAGCGTGAGGCTCTCACTGACCGTTTTACATCTTGTATTTTTATTTTGACTTTTCATTAAAAATGGCACATATATAAATCTTTTTTGTCTCAAGCTACTATCGAATCAGTTTTTGTTGATAGCAGATCAACTGCAGTAAATAAGAAAGATGTGATTAGATATGATCTGTGATTCAAAAGACAGATCACCAAGATAGGAAACAGAAAAAAAAAGAGACTGAAACTTAAAAAATGGTTGCTTACCGATTTTTTGCTTTTTTGAAAGGTCTTCTCAGAAATATACACCTTTTTAGAGTACTTCTTATGTTATATTTTCATGGGTCTATTGTCATTTTTAGATAAATAAATACATGTTTACGTTTACAAGGGGAAAAAGAAACTGAATACCAGGTATCAAAGGTCTGTTCGTATGGTCTCGGTTCGTGATAACTTTGTTTCGCGCGTGAACACACAAGTAACACAAGTAACAATGAAAGTTAAAATAACTCAAAATTCCAATTAATTTACAAATTAACAATTCCCAATTAACTTACAACAATGTCTACATTAATAATGACTTAAGGCTCGTTGAAATTAAACCAAGAAATATATAAGACCTTACGAGCCGTTCCCAGGATGTTGAGCGGAAACTGTACGTGTATATGTATATATATATATATATATATGCACACGTAACGAGTTCAACTTGTAAATTTTTACAAGTGAGTATTTTTTGAATTGAAATCTCAATTCTTAAATTCATACGGGATGCTAGATTTGCATCTCACATATGAGAGACCCCGGATACCCTCCTAACTAATGTCTACATTGTTTTTGACTGTTAATCTGTCGCTTGGGTCGATGTTTCGTTTTCCGTGAGTAATGTCGGGGTCTCTCTCTTTCAACTCAGAAGCGCAAACTCACCGATCATCCCCCTTTGAACACGACGCTCGTTATTTCCTTCTATTAGAGCTTCAGATCGTTTATAGACGATATCGTCTGCTTAGTCTCAATCGCCGAGCAGACGCCCATCGCTTCTGCCAGTCTTTCTCTCTTTCTCTCTCTTTTTCTCTCACTCTATCTCGGCTCATAGGGGTGTCATATGCCTCATTCAGATAATATCTGAGCGAGAAGCGTACGTCGTAAAATGTCACATACTTAACTCCCATGCGATACGCGAAGTTGTTGTGGGGCGCGCATGAACTTAAACAGAGATCCTCTATAAACTACCGAACAGTTTACATTACATGTATATTTCTATTGCACCTTCATTCGATACGTGCGTGAGAATTCGCTGCCCTGT